AAAATTAATTTATTTTATATTACGTGTGGGAGAAAGGACAAGAGAGAAGTTTTGACTGTGCGGTGACACGTGTGGGGATCAGAGTACAGTTCCTGGGTGTTGGTTTTCTCTTGTCGCTTTTTGGGATCTGGGAACCCAACTCAAATTATTATTAAGTCTGGTCATTACTGCCTTTTCTTACTGAGTTAATTCAATGGCCTTCAATAAATCGTTCAAAGGTGAAAGTGGGACAGGAGGGTATGGCACACACCCATAGTCTCAGCAGCCCGGAGGAGCAGAAGACCAAGGCCAGCCTCCGCTACATAATGAATTTGAGGCCAGCTTAAACTACAAGACCCTCTCTCAAATGTGTGTGTGTGTGTGTGTGTGTTGGGCCTACAAATGTCCAGTGTAAGCTCCTGAGCCTGACTTGAGTTTAGGGCTCGGATGTGAGGCCCAGTGTAACCTCCTGAGCCTGGCTAGATTTTGGTGACCTGTCTCTGGCCTGTAACCTCCACGTGGGAGTGACTCAGCAAGGCCTGATGTAAGACTGTCCCCTGCCTAGCTACCTGCCTGCTTGGTGGAATATTATTGGCCATTACTCCTCATGTAACCTTACCCCATTCTAAGATTCCCATCCCCTACTTCAGCCCTATATAAGTTCATGCTTGTTGAATAAATCGAGATCGACAAGTCTCCTGACTCAGTGTGTATTTTCTTCCCAGTAACTAATGGGGGGAGGGTCTGAGTTATGGATACTCTCGCTCAGCCAGGGGAAGAGACCAGCTGGACTGCCCCCCCCTCACGCACCAGCCTGAGGATCAGTGTGTGTGTGTGTGTGTGTGTGTGTGTGTGTGTGTGTGTGTGTGTGTGTTAAACCACCTTCACAAAACAAAACAGCTTAAAATGTTCCAGGGACTGCTCACTCATCCCAATACAACGTCTTCTTGTGGACTACATGATTTCATGGCCCATGCTCCAGCCTCATCCTAGTCTGTCCCTCATTATTGATGGGACTCTGGTCACATCAGTCTTCCTTCTTGTCTCCAAACACAATTAGCTTGTTCCAACCCAGAATCTTTGCTCATTCCCTGCCCTCTGTCTGGGTCATTCCTAACCCAAGTTTCTGTATGACTGACTCCATATTAATGTCCAGGGCTTGGCCATGAATGACACTTTCCTAGAGACTCTGTCCCTTTAATTCTGATTTTTTTTTCCTTTTCTTTCTTTTTTTTTTTTTTTTTGAGACAGAGTCTCACTATGTAGCCCAGGCTATCCTGGAACTCACTCTGTATACCAGGCTGCCCTCCAACTCACAGAAATCCTCCTGTCTCTGCCTCCTCAGTGCTGGGATTAAAGGTTTTCACTACCACTGCTCAGCCATTCTTAACTTTGTAATTCCACTCTCTGAATTTTATGTGTATTGGTACTGGAGACTGAACCAAGGGGCTCAGTGTTAAACAGTGTCTCTGCCACTGAGCCCCAGCCCCAGCTCATTTCACATTGTATGTATATTTATGTGTGTGGATATGTGGGTGTATACAAGTGTGAATACAAGTGTATGCTCATGTTTGTGGAAGTCAGAGGACAATCTTGGGTGTCACTCCTTAAATACCATGCATCTCCTCCTCCCCTTCCTCCTTTTTCTCCTCCTCCTTCTTTTTCCAAGTCTCTGTCTGGTCTGAAAGTCACCAAATAGGCTAGGCTCACTGACAGCAATCCCAGGGATCCGGCAGTCCCTGTGCCTCAGGACTGAGATTACAAGCATGTTCTATAACACACCAATTTTTTGTTTGTTTAAGCTGATATCTGTAGATTGAACTCAGGCACTCATGCTTGCAAAGCAAACATTTTACCAACTAATCTGTTCCCAGACCAATATTTACTTAATTTTTTGCAATGCTAGGGATGAATCAAAGCTTCATGTATGCTAGGCAAACACTGTCATTAAGCCACATCTCCATCCCTTTATTATTTTTAAAATGTTTATTGAAATTATGTGTGTATATGTGTGTATGCCCGTGGGTATACATATACAAGGGAAGGTGACCAGAGTTTAGAAGAGGATCTCAGATCCCCTCAAACTGGAATTAACAGGTGTTTATGAGCTGTCCGACATGGGTGCTGGGAACCAAACTTAGGTCCATCATAAGAACAGTATGAGCCCTTAACTGCTGAGCCATCTTTCCAGCCCCTTCTTGTATTTTTTTTTCAAGGCAGGTTTCTCTGTGGCTTTGGAGGCTGTCCTGGAACTAGCGCTTGTAGACCAAGCTGGTCTTGAACTCATAGAGAACCGCCTGCCTCTGCCTCCTGAGTGCTGTGATTAAAGGCTTGCGCCACCACTGCCCGGCTCCCTTCTTGTATTTTTGAGACAAAGTCTTGCTATATATCCCTGACTGGCCTAGAATTTCCCATGAAGACCAATCTGGTTTCAAACTCAGAGATCCACCTAATTCTGACTCTCCCAAGTACTGGGACTAAAGATGTGGGCCAGAATTCTCTGCCCTATAAATGTTTTGTTTGTTTGTTTTTTCTTTAAAAAAGTCAAGCATGGGAGCCAGGCAGTGGTAGTACACACCTTTAATTCCAGTGCTCAGGAGGCAGAGGCAGGTAGATCTCTGTGTGTTTGAGGCCAGCCTGGTATACAGAGCTAGTTCCAGGACAGCCAGGACCACACAGAGAAACTCTGTCTTGAAAAACCAAAATCCCAAACAAAAGCAACAACAAAAAAATTGTAATCCCAGCACTTGGAAGGCAGAAACAGAAAGATTACCTTGAATTCAAAGCCTGTGTGAGCTACAGTATGAGAATGTGTCTTTAAAAAAAAAAAGAAGGCTGGGCATTGGTGGCACACACTTTTAATCCCAGCACTCGGGAGGCAGAGGCAGGTGGATCTCTGTGAGTTCGAGGCCAGCCTGGTCTACAGAGCGAGTTCCAGGACAGCCTCCAAAACAATACAGAGAAACCCTGTCTCGAAAAAAACAAAAAATAAAAAAATAAGGGAAGTAGAAGAGGGCAGGAGGAGAAAGAAAGAAAGAAAGAAAGAAAGAAAGAAAGAAAGAAAGAAAGAAAGAAAGAAAGAAAGAAGGAAGGAAGGAAGGAAGGAAAGAAAGAAAAGAAAGAAGGAAGGAAAGAAAGATCTGTTCAGTGCTTAAGCTACTAAGTTTTGGAGCATTTCTCACATACCAACAGATCACTAGCAAGGCCCATGCAGACTTGAGGATGTACTGAGCCTCCTGGAAAGCTTTGTTAGCTGATAGCTGTGTTTACACATTTAGAGCTGCACACAGAGTGCCTGATGCTCTCAGAACCTTAGCATTCCTCCCACTGCTTTGGGTCTGTTTATGTTTTTAAGCAAACATAGGAACAAACTACAATGGCAATTATAGTGCTAGATTCTAGTTTTTCTGCTTAAGATGTTGAAAACATCATCTCCTCTCAATCTCCAAAGCACTCTGTTTTTGTGTGTGGGTCGGTGTGCAGGGATGATGTGTGGGGCGGGAGTGCACCACAGCACACCTGTAGAGTCCAAGGACTCCTTTGTGGAGTCAGTTCCCCAGCGCTAAGTGGCAAGTAGTGCCGTTGGCATCCTGCTGGCCCTCCAAAATATTCTTTCTTCTTAGAAGTTCTTTGGTAGTTAACAAGTGAGCAGTACTCTAAGCGTAGACCTTTCCTATTAAGCAGAAGATTGAGGGCTGCCCTCTGGGTTCGTTTCTAGCAGCATGTGCCTACCCTTCTGCTCAGGGTTTGCAATCAGAGTGTAGGGAGTAGTCACGGTGGTTCATGTCTGCAACCTTAGCATTTGGGATGCTGAAGCACAAAGACTGATGCAAGTTCGAGGCTAGCCCAGACTGTGTGTGGTGAGTTCCTGGGCAAGTCTGGGCCACCCAGTGAGAATCCTGGGTGATGACTGATATGCCTGAGCAAGCCCATCTCAACTCTACTTTGCTGTCTTGTTTTTTATTTCATTTCAAAGTGTGTGTGTGTGTGTGTGTGTGTGTAAGGCAGAAGACAACCTTGGGTGTTGGTCCTCACCTTCCACCTTATTTGAGGCGGACTCCCTTGCTCTCTACTGCAGGGAGTGCCCACGGGTTCTCCAGTCTTCATCAGCCGGCAGCTGGAGTAACAGGATTGCATGCTCCTGGGCTTGGCTTTACTAGGGTTCTGGAGATTTGAATTTGGGTACTTGGACTTGTACAAGCACTTTAAGCACTGAGCCATCTCCCCACCACCCACCTCATCTCCAGGCCAGCTCCTTCCCACTGCTATTGGAGGTCAGTTGAATTAGGTACTCGATGAGGAATGCCTCTCTTGAGATTCCAGATCTCTCTTTTTTCCTTTAAAGAAATATTATTGGGAGGTGAGGCACATGTATCATGGCTGCTGGAAGTGTTTGGAGGACAACTTTGTGGGATCAGTTCTCCTTCCCACCATTGGGCTCCAGGGCTCCAACTCAGACTGCCAGGCTTACATGGCAGGCGGTTTATACATTGAGCCATCCGTCAGGTCTACCCTTTCTCTTTGTGAAGACCTTGTGGTTTCAACACTTACAGTATATCGGTGCAGAGTCTCTGGTTAACACCAGTTGTTCTTGCAAAGGCTACAGGTTCAGTTCTGAGCATCCACATGATGGATCCCAGCCATTTGTAACTCTAGTCCCAAAGGATCTGATGGCCTCTTCTGACCTCCACAGGCACCAAGTATGCATATGATACACATACGTGCATTTGGGAAAAATGCTCATACTCACATTTTTGTTATGTTTCTTGAGACAGGATGACAGGGTCTCTCTGCACAGTCCTGGCTGTCCTGGAACTGACTATGCAGACCAGGCTGGCCTGGAATCCACAGACTTCCACCTGCCTCTGTCTTCCCAGTCCTAGGATTAAAGGAGTGTACTACGACATCCAGTACACACACACACAGTTTATATATATATATATATATATATATATATGTTTGTATAATATATATAATCAACAGAGATAACCAGTTCTCAACAACTTGGAAAAACAAAGAGGTCTGGGAAACACTTTATTTATCATCACATGTGCTGAGATGTGTGTTCTGATCCAGGAATGAGTCCACTTCTGACACACCATCTCACTCAGTTCCAGATGTGAAAGCATGGTGAAGAGCTCAAGGCACTTTGGGTGCTGTTTGAACGACAGCCCTTTCAGAGCTAATAACCCTGCAGAACTCCCATCCACTCTCCTAGCTGTCATGGCCGCAGTCCCAAGAGTCATGAAGGAACCACTTTAGGGGAGCCTGAGGATAATGGGACCTGATGCCATGCAGGGCTGGGAGAGCCACCAAGAAAAACACAGGCAATATTACAGCCAGGTTCAAGGTCTTGCATCACCCTCCCCCCATCATCCTTTTCTGTAGCTTCTGGTGAGGGAGAGGATGGCTTTGCTTGGTCCACAGCGGCAGGCACTCAGTAACTGGAGCAGAAATGGAGGAGCTACCTGGGTGCTGAGGCTGCTTCAAGAACATAGAGAAGGCAGCTCAACTCTAGATATAGCCTAGAAGTGGACTTTTGCAGAAGAGAGCAGCGGGAAGGCCGTGAGGAGGTGTGGACTAGGGTCCACAGACAGCTTCTGCCAATCTGCTGAGGAGGCCGCCAGTGCAGGCAAGCACTCTATGTTCTGTGGACACTCTGGTCCCAGAGCAGCAGGAGGGTTGGAGGAGGATGCCAGCCTCCTGCTGGTGGGATGCTCCAGTCTGAGGGGCTGTGGAGGGACCAGCTGGTCTGGGGGGCTGGGCATGAGGTCATCAAACTTAGAGAAAGACCCTGGAAGGCTGGAACCAGGGGGTGATGCGGACAGTACAGGGCTGGGGGATAACTGGGCTAGAGGGGCCCTCACCATGAAAGGGTCAAAGGACAGTGAGGGCAATGGGGAAGGGAGGACGCCAAGAGACTCGTGTAAGCATGGACCTGGAGAGAGCTGATGGGCTGGGGGAGAGGAGCCAGGAGTCTGGAGAAGGTCCAGCTGTTCCTGAGAGCCAGGGTATCCATGGGACGCAGATTGTCCTGAGAGTTGCTCTTCCTGGACTGGGCATTCAGAGGGCAGCAGAGCAGGGCAGGAGCCACAGTCCACTCGGCACAGGCGTTCATGCAGATGCAGCGTCCGGCCCCACCGTGCAAGTTCATTCTGCAAGACCTGGATCTCCTTCCGAAGGGCATGATTGTGTTTCTCCAAGGACTCGTGTTGCTGGTGGAGAAGCAGGTGGCAGGGAGGGATGTCAGCATCAGGACCCTGTGCAGGGTACTCACTGCTATAGGGTATGAATATCCAGATAGAACCTCTTGGGTGCTCATTCATCATGTATCTCTCTGGCAGGCTCATTATGCTCCCCTACCCCACATCTCCAGAGCTGGAACTTTCCTCTCTGCCTACTATGGATCATGTGATAAGAACCCAGGATCTCTATCTGGTCTCTATCTGCCCCTCACCTCCTGGCACTTCATTGGTCATTGGTCCAATCAGTGACTGCGTCTTGTTTGATGGATTTGGACTGTACCTTTGTTTGGTTAGGGAAGGGACACTGTAAACAAATGAGGGATGACAGGAAGACATTGGGTATCTTCTATTGGTCTGTACCTTACATTCCCTTAAGTCTGGATCTCTCACTAAACCCAGAGATGGACATTTTGGTCATCAGGCTCCTGGGATGTGCTGTTTCTGCCTCTAATGCTGCAGTGACAGGCCAAACCCAGCACTTCTTTTTGTTTGTTTGTTTGTTTGTTTTTCAAGACAGGGTTTCTCTGTATTGTTTTGGAGGCTGTCCTGGAACTCACTCTGTAGACCAGGCTGGCCTCGAACTCACAGAGATCTGCCTGCCTCTGCCTCCCAAGTGCTGGGATTAAAGGCATGCGCCACCACCACCCAGCTCAAGGTTCTTAATTCCTGTCCTTCCCCTAGAATCTGCTTCTTTCATGCTGTCTGCTCTGCCTGGACATTTTGAACCCTGCCCCCTTGATAGTCTTAATATGACTTGACCTCTCAATGGCATTGTTTCCTGGTTTCACTGAGTCTGCTAAAGACAAGGTCTTAGCCTCCAGATCCCAAAAGGCACCAACAAGACACTATAGGGGTTCAGGGCACTGCTGCAATGGTTGGCAGGAACCCGAGTCAGCATTTTCTAAGCACAGTAGGTTCAGGACAATCATCAACATGCAATTTAGTTTAGTTTAGTTTTTGAGAGTTTCTTATAGCCATGGCTGGCTCCCAAACCTCACAATTACAGGCACAAGCCGCCATGTCAGTCTTCTTGGATAGAGCTCTCTCTGGGCATGTGCAACATGTAAGCATTGTGCTTCTATTTTTTTTTTTAACATCTTGGGGAAGGGGCATATGCTATGACCCATGTGTGGAGGTCAGAGGGAAACTACTGGAGCTAAGTGTTGTCCTCCCACCACCCAAACTCTGGGGATCAGAAGTTTCCACACTGAGACATCTTGCCTCACCCAGTCCAGACTTACACTTCTGAATGGCATTTATGGTGATAGACAGTAAGGGTGAAGATGCAGAGAGAATGTTATTTCCACACCTTGTAAGTCTGAATAACTCAAACAACATTCTCAGTCCCCTTTGTGGGACACTTTAAAAGGAGAATTTTTCAAGGGCATTCTGCATGAAGTGGGGTGTAGGCCATGGACTTGGTTCTGAAAGGCCTCAGAGCACCAGCAGCCCCATTTGCACAATGGCTTCTGCAAATGAAAAGGGCATCTCTTTTTTCTTTATAGAAATTTAAAATGTATTTTATTTATGTATGTATTATTTATTTATTTATTTATTTTGGTTTTACAAGACAGGGTTTCTTTGTATTGTTTTGGAGGCTATCGGTCCAGCCTGGCCTCGAACTCACAGAGATCCACCTGCCTCTGCCTCCCGAGTGCTGGGATTAAAGGCATGCGCCACCACCTCCCAGCTATGTATGTATTTATTGAGTTGTGTATATGTGGGCACATCCACACCACAGTGCAAGTGTGGGGTCAGAGGACAACTTTCAGGTGTCAAGTTTTCTCCTACTGTGTGGGTCCTGAGATTGCACTCAGGTCCTCAGGGTGTGCTAACCTTCTGAGCCCTTTCTACAGCCCCAGAATGGATATTTCTACCTGGAGATATAGCTCATTTGGTAGAGTGCTCACCTAGCATAAAAGAAGTCCTGAGATTAATCACTCTCATCCCATAAACTGGGCATGGTGGCACACACCTGTAATTCTAGCATGGGAGAGGCAGAGGCAAGTCAGTGGTTAAGATAGTGAACTGGTCTTCCAGAAGATCCAAGTTCAGCTCCCAGTACCCATGTCAGGGGGCTCATAACTACCTGTAACTCCAATTCCAGGGGGATCTGACATCTCTGGCTCCTGTGGGCAAGGCACCTATAAGCCCATAGACACACACACACACACACACATACACACACACACACACACACACATATATATATTAAGCCAAGTGTGGTAGTTCATGTCTTTAATACCAGTACACAGGAAGCAGAGGTATGCAGGTCTCTGTGAGTTCCAGGCTAGCCTGGTCTACATAGTGAATTTCAGGACAGCCAGGGCTACGCAGAGAAACCCTGTCTCTAAATACATAAATTAAAATGACATGAAATAAAAAGTAAGCCATTCTAGTGAGGTTGTTCAGCAGGTCAGGCACTTTGCCACACAAGCCTGATGACCTAAGTTTGATCCCTGGGACCCGTACAAACACGGAAAGAGAAAACTGACTTCATAAAGTTGTCCTGTAGCCTCCACATGCATACATATGCACCCCATACTTACATTAACAATCAATGAAAATCTAATAGATAAAGCAGAGGCTGGAGATGTAGCTTGGTGATAGAGAGCACTTGCCCAGCACCATGACCTTGGTCTGGAGTTGTGGTTCCCAGCACCCAGATCACCAGATGGATGCTGAACTGTGTGTGGTTTAAGCCAATCTGTGGTGCTTGGTATGGTTACCTGAGTGAGTGAATGTGTCCTCCCCCACTTTTTGCTTCCAGAGCTTTTTGTCCTGATACTGCCATTTGCTTTACAGTAAACTGTGGAGCCCCCCCTTTTTTTCTGCCAGGTCCCGTTATAGGTGATTGCAAACAGAACGGAATGGGACAGTTTCCTGCCTTCATGGCACCTGGTGTCTCAGGAGAGGAGCAATGTGGAGGATACAGAGAAGGCTACTATGAAGGATGACTAATCTACTCACAGGCTAATGGATTCAAGACAACAGTGTGGATGAAGTATGGAATGAAGGCCACTGGGAAGCATAGACTGGTCCACTCCCGGGTCAATGGGCTATGTTTCCGGTATACTCTTTCCTCAACATGTCACGCCCTTACCCTCCCATGACTCCACATGAGATCCTTACTAGGTGCTGGACAGATGCTGGATCATGCTCTGAACTTCCCAGGCCCCAGAACCATGAGCTAAATGAAACTATCCTGGGTCTAGAGAGATGGCTCAGTGGTTAAGAGCACTGGCTGCTCTTCCAGAGGCTCAGGCTCCATTCCCAGCACCTATATGGGGGCTCACAACCATCTGTAGCTCCAGTCCCAGGGGATCTGCTACCCTCTTCTGTCCTCCAGAACATGGCACACGTGTTGTGCACAGACATATATGCAGGCAAAATACACATGCCCATACATATAAAATAAAACAAACTTTTAGCTGGGTAGTGGTGACACACACCTTTAATCCCAACACTTGGGAGCCAGAGGCAGGCAGATCTCCGTGAGTTTGAGGCCAGGCTGGTCTGCAGAGCAAGTTTCAGGGCTACACAGAGAAACCCTATCTCAAACAAAACAAAAACAACAACCACAAACAAACAAGATAAACTTTTAAAAGGAGAGAGAGCCGGGCGTTGGTGGCGCATGCCTTTAATCCCAGCACTCGGGAGGCAGAGGCAGGCGGATCTCTGTAAGTTCGAGACCAGCCTGGACTACCAAGCGAGTTCCAGGACAGCCTCCAAAGCCACAGAGAAACCCTGTCTCAAAAAAAAAAAAACAAAAAAAAAAAAAGAAAAGAAAAGAAAAAGAAAAAGGAGAGAGAGTTCTTTTCTCTATAAGTCACTCAGTCTTTTGAACCAAAAGAGGGCATCCCTACCTGGTGCAGAGCATCTGCCTTCTCAGTGTGCTTCTGCCGGCTGCGCTGGGCAGCCAGCCGGTTCTTCTGCTTTTTCTTCAGCTGCTTCTGACACTCCTCAGGGGCCTATGAGATAGGAGGCAGAGGGCTCTGGGGTCCTGGCAGTGGTTTGCCCCCTTTGTCATGATCAGTCATTTGGAAAGCTGTCTTTCTCAAGTCTGGTCCTAAGAACTCCTGTTCTCCCAAAATGTTTCCTCCCTTGGTGGCACAGTTCCCCGAAGACACTGCAATCCTTACTGTAAAACCAACCCTATTCAGTGTCCAACTCACGGCTTACATAGCAGAACATAGCAACTTTAAACACACACTCTCAAAAGCCAGCATTGACTTTTTTGAGTACAATAATCTCAATGGTAAAACAGAAGCACATGGTGCTTCCCCAACTGTCCACGGAGAGTGGAGAGAAGCTGGGAGTAGATACACCAGAGAGAGATGCTATTTCTATAATCCAAGAGTTGATCTTCCGAGCCCAGAGCTCCACAAAGATGGGGCCAGGGCCTGGTACAGTTCCATGTGCTCATGCCCACCTCATTCCCAAAGTGCTGGTATTCAGTTACTCAAAGAACATTTATTTTTTAGTGTGTGTGTGTGTGTGTGTGTGTGTGTGTGTGTGTGTGTGTGTGTGTGTGTGGTCTGCAGATATACATGTGTACAGAGCCCAGAAAGACAAAATAGTCCAGGCTGACCTGGAACTCACTATGTAGCAGAGGCTGGTCTTGAGCTTCTAACCTCCTGACAAAGTGCTAGGATTACAGGCATGTGCTACCACTTATAGAATATGCCTGCTTTCTTTTATATGTATGTATGTATGTATATATGTATATATGTGTGTGTGTATATATATACACAAAATAGACACATTATAGTATGCTCAGAAGCAATCAACCTTATTTTAATTTTTAAAATCATGTGTATAATTGTGTGTGGTGACATGTATGTGCATGTGGGAGGCCAGAAGAGGGTGTTAAATCCCTTGGAGCTGGAGTTACAGTTGGTTTGGTTGTGAGCTGTCCCATGCAGATTCTGGCAACCTAACTCAGGTCCTCTCTAAGAGTGGTAAGTGCTCCCTAACCGATGAGCACGCTCCAGCACCCATCTTATTTTTTGAGGCAGAGTCTCACTGGCCTGGGGCACACCACTAAGGCTAGGCTGCCTGGTCATCACGCAGAGATCTGCCTGTGTCTCCTTCCCCAGCCTTGACAGCCCACCAGACTTTTCAGTGGATGCTAGGGATCAGACTTACAAGGGAAGTGCTTCATTGACTGAGCCATCTCCACATCCTTTCAGCAGACATCTAAGTACCTACTATGTGCCAGGCACTAAGCTAGGAGGACACAGAAGTGGGAGGAAAACAAACAAACAACCAGGCAAAATGGCCACACATGGTGGAGCCTGCCTGTAATCCCAGCAGAAGGGTCAGGTTAAGGCCAGGCTTGGCTGCATAGTGAGGCCAGAATGGGATACATGAGATCTTTTCTCAAGCAAGCAATAAAGAAAGTAGGAATGTTGGCCGGGCGGTAGTGGTGCACGCCTTTAATCCCAGCACTCGGGAGGCCGAGGCAGGTGGATCTCTGTGAGTTCGAGACCAGCCTGGACTACCAAGGGAGTTCCAGGACAGCCTCCAAAGCCACAGAGAAACCCTGTCTCGGAAAAAAAAAAAAAAGAAAGAAAGTAGGAATGTAGCTTAGTGGGGAGTATTTGCCTAGCTTAGAAGGGGCTGGGGAGATGGCCCAGTAGTTAACAGCACTGACCGCTCTTCCAGAGGACCATGGTTCAATTCCCAGTACCCACATGGCAGCTAACAACTTTCTGTAACTCCAAGATCTGACAGAGACATACATCAAGCAAAATGCCAGTGCACATAAAATAAAAATAATGTTCACACTGAAAAGGACTGGCTGCCTAATACCAATGAATGGAGAGTTTGTCTGACAGGAAGTGGGACTTTTAGCTAATAGCTCTGAACCTTCCAACCCTAAGTACCATGAAAATTAAACGGAACCTGCAGCCAAATGCCCAGAGCTGGACCCTGCCTCTGTCACCCTACCCCAGGCAAAATCCCAGTCACCCTGACTGAGGACTCTGCATGTTCCTTGGTTTGTGGCTTCCCAGTGGCTGTATCTTCCTCGGGGCAAATTCAACCCCAGAGGATGGAGGCTGAGGAAAGAGTCAGTGAGAAAAGAAGAAAGCTGCATTTTGAGGGACTGAGGAGAGAAGAGAAGGGTCTGGAAATGCAGCAGCAAGGTGAGAGCAGCTGGAACGGAACGAGCAGTTCTGCAGGATCCATGTTCAAAGCTGGTGTGCAGTGTGAGACCTGGGAGGAACTGAACCCAGAGACGGCAGTGTGGAGCCCTGTCCCAGGTCACACAGACACGGTGTGGAGTTGGGACCGGAGCTCCTCACTACATCTTCCCTGGGACCCTTGGCCGATTTCTCTCCACGTGCGTCCTTCCTCGTCCCCTGTACTCACTGTCCCAGTCAGCAGCGCACCACTCCCACAGAGTTGCATGGCTTAGGCAGGGGGAGCAGAGGTTCAGTCCGGTCCTGCGTGTTCCCTCAGCAGCTTTGCCCTCCCAGTGCCCTCTGGAAGCTCAAGGAAGTGGTGGCTCTTTAAATCCCCAGTGACCACTCCGCCCCCAGCACACCCAGTTTCAGTTTCTCCTAAAGCCTTCGGCTGCCCAGAATCCTTGGCTCTTGCTTGCTCACGTGGCTGGAACTTCCTAACATGAGCTGCCTTCCGGAGGCCCCCTTCTCTGGAAGACTGGTGGAGGGTAGACAGGAGGAACAACAAGACAGTATCCCCGGGGCGAGCCGGCAGGCAGCCAGGGACAGGAACCTGGAGAAGGGGGAGCGTGTTGGCGGTGGGGGTGTGCATGAAGGAGCCCCTGTAATCGCTTGGGGAGCCCAGGTCCACAGTCCACACTGGAGCTGTGCAGCTTTGAGAAGGTGACTCATCTTCTCTGAACTTTAGTTTCTTCATCTATAAAGGATGTGGTAGGATGGGACAAATTCCCAGACCTGAGGTTGGGTGTGGTTGGTGTGGTGCTTGCACTACAGAAGCAGGGGCAGGAGGTTCACCCATGAGTTTGCAGGTAACCTGTGCTACATAGTAAAAGCTCCCAGACTTGACAGAAGAACTGAGACAAACTCTCCAAACTCTCTGAGACCAATATGGCAGGCATGACTACAAAAATAGTCAGGGCTGTCATGGTGGTACACACCTTTAATTTCCAGGGCTTGGAAGTGGAGCCAGGAGGGTGTCTCTGAGTTAGAGGCTCCAAGTCACAGTGCTAAACGATTAAACCCTGTCTGAATAATGATGATTATGGCAGTTATGTCGTGGGCCTTTAATCCCAGCACTTAGGAGGCAGAAGCAGGCAGATCTCTGAGTTTGAGGCCAGCCTGGTCTACAGAGTGAGTTCCAAGACAGGCAGGATACACAGAGAAACTGTCTCAGAAAAAAAAATGATGATGAAGAAATTTTAAATTTAATTTTATGTGTATGAATGTTTTGTCTGTGTTCAATATGTGTGCCCAGTGAGCTCAGAGGTCAAAAGAGAGCATTGGCTCTCCTGGATCTAGAGCCATCTTTAGCCCCCAAAAGAAAAAAATTTATAAGAATCCTTATGTCCAAGTTTTGTTTTTTTTTTTAGGTGCTAGTGGTAGCTGCCTATAATCCCAGCATTTGGGAAATGGAGACAAGAGGATCAGAAGTTCAAGCCCATTTATAGCTACACAAAGAGTTGGAGGCTAGCCTGGGCAATAAGAGGCAGTGTCTCTTAATAAATGAGTAAAAAAAAAAAAAAAGAGCACTGTAATTGATTAGCAATGTCTTCCATGCCATGGTTGATTAGTGATTTCTATAATGACCAGAGCTATAGTACACAACAATCCTTTGCCATCTCTAGAACTGATCCTGAAGCCAGCCTGGGCTTTATAGTTGGAAGACTTGACTGAGCCCTCGTCTCTGTCCATCAGTTTTCTGACCCGGTGCTTCAGTGTGTCCATCCCTTTTCTGGAGACGGTAAAATCAGTCCTGGTTTAGAGCTGTTTGGAGATAAAGAACGGGATGAGGAAAAAGCCCTTCCCCTATCATAAAGTACTGCCAGGCTAGGTGTGTCCCCTCCTCTGAAACTGGTAATGAATCTGGGCTCTAGGCTCATTGAAGTATGTTCATCAGTCTGTGTAGGTGACATTAGACACGACAGCTGAACACTGCCACCTTGCTTCTGAGAGCTTTGGGGGCAGAGGCTGAAATGGGGTAGCCCCCGACAGTGAGGCTGTCCATTTCTTGGGATTATTTTTGTTTCTCAGATATTAGACTAGGGCCGCTGGCTTGAGGCATGCACCTGAGGGACTCATTAAACCAGACTGTGAACTCCACTGGGGAACAATTGGGAGGTGGCTTGAGTATGATGTCACCCCAGAAAACACCTTTCTGGGAGGCTAGGGCCTAGTGTCCCTACTTCAGCCTGTAGCTCTAACTAGAGCTAGATTCCCTGACCTCCCAGACCAGTGGCTTCCAGTAGAGGGTAGACAGTGTGCAGGACTGTGTCCTCCCAGGAGACCACACCCAGGGAGGAAGATGAGGTGCTTAAGACTTGATTGATCTCCAGAAGGAGTGATCGGTGGGGAGGGGTACGAGGTAATATTTAACTTTTTTTTTCTTTTTTTGGTTTTTCTTTCTTTCTTTCTTTTTTTTTTTTTTTTTTTGGTTTTTCGAGACAGGGTTTCTCTGTGGCTTTGGAGGCTGTCCCGGAACTCACTCTGTAGACCAGGCTGGCCTCGAACTCACAGAGATCCGCCTGCCTCTGCCTCCCGAGTGCTGGGATTAAAGGCGTGCGCCACCAACGCCCGGCTTTTTTTTGGTTTTTCGAAACAGGGTTTCTCTGTGGCTTTGGAGGCTGGTCTCGAACTCACAGAGATCTACCTGCTTCTGCATCCCAAGTGCAGGGATTAAAGGCAAGCGCCACCAACGCACAGCCTTCTTTTTTTTCCTTTTTTAGTTTTTCCAGACAGGGTTTCTCTGTGTAGCTTTCGAGCCTGTCCTGGAATTCGATCTGTAGATCAGACTGACCTCAAATTTACAGAGATCTGCCTGCCTCTGCCTCCCTAGTGCTGGGATTAAAGGCCTGTGGCACCAACGCCCAGCTAGTAATATTTAACCTTAATTATTCCTTCAAGGTTTCCCTAAGAGGTAGATAAACTCCCAGGCCAGTGGAGTCACACTCTGACCCCTCACTCAGAATTCACCTCATATTAACACAATACTTAAAGCCTAGGTGGCTTAAACAATGTTTATTTCCCATGCCTTTGGAGGCTTTTAGAAAAAGCCCAAAGATGCCAACAGACACAGCTCCTACAGATGGCTGCCAGGGTCTCATTTTGTAGCCCAGTCTAACTTTAATTTACAGAGAAACTATTGTTAGCCTCCAGGGCTCTGGGATTACAGGTATATGGCACCAAGTTCTGTAGTCTTATGGTGGTGCTTTTTTTAAGGGTATGTTCTCACTAGGTAGCTCTGGCTGGTTTGGAACTCTATGTAGACCAACTTGGCTTCAAACTGTCTCTGTCTAGTGCCTAGTAAGCCCCATACCTGGTAACAACTGCTTTTTCTCCTCCTCCTCCTCCTTTTGAGGATCTTATATGTAGTCCAGGCAAGCCTCCTAGGATTGGAATAGCAGCAATTCTTCTGTCTTAGTCTCCTAGTAGTGCAATTACAGGTTTGTGACACCATACCTAACTGAAAGGCTGGTACTTAAAACATGAGTTTGGCAGAAATATAGACATCCCGAACATTCCTGAAAGGGAGGAATTTAATACCCAAAAGGTTACGGTCACCTGCCCCAGGGGGCAGAGCTGGAAGGAGAACAGAATTCTCTCTTCCAAATCCTCAATCCTCTCCACTGAGCTCTTGGGGGCCTATGAATCCAGCAGTTCTGGTAGATGGAGGCTGGAGGGTCTCCTGATGTGGCCCCTGTGCCCCCCCACACACACAAGCTCAGTAAGTAAATGAATGAATCAAAGCCCAGGCAACTTGACTTTGTATACTCAAGGATCCCCAAAACGTACCTGAGAAAGAAAGTTCTGGAAGACTCACTCCCATAAGATCTACCTAGATACCTCGTGAACTCTATTAGCCAAGTTCCTCAATTTGCCTGTGTGGAAACTGAGGCTCAGGGAATGATCATTTGGTAGAAGTCAGGCTGTGTTGATTCTTGGTCCCAATGCCTGACCACACCTCCTTGTGCTGGGAGAGATGCTCAGCCTCCAGCTGTGCAGGGGTGAGCTGGGAGAGATGCACAGCCTCCAGCTGTGCAGAGGTGAGGCTCTCTTAGTTTAATTCTTCCCACTATGTGCATCCCTTGCTTTAGGCCTGGCCTCCTCAGCCCTTGAAGTGAACAGAAGAAAAGGGGGCTGAGGCTGAGCCGACTTCTCACGTAGAATGGAGGGCCTGCTGAAGGCTAAGCCGCAGCTGCTCACAATCTGAAACTCAACAGTGTGTGGACACTCCTATTCGGGAGGTCACTTCCTGCTGGGGAGGTCAGGGAAGGCAACAGTTCTTTGGGAGGAAGTACACTAGAGAATGAGTAGGTTCTGTGCCAGGTATAGAATCTGTCCTACAGTCCCTGGATTAATTTCTGTGTCTCCTTTATAAACTGGATTAATAAGGGTTTTTTGTTTGTTTGTTTGTTTCAAGACAGGGCTTCTCTGTATTGTTTTGGAGGCTGTCCTGGAACTTGCTCTATAGACCAGGCTGGCCTCGAACTCACAGAGATCCGCCTGCCTTTGCCTCCCGAGTGCTGGGATTAAAGGCTTGCACCACCAACGCCCTACCTAATAAGGGTTTGAAGAGGGCTCAGCAGTTAAGAGCACTGGGTGCTCTCCAGAGGACCTGGATTCTGTTGGGATGTTTTTCATCTAGTCTCAGTTCCACTAAAATGCCTTGACTTCAAAATTTAAGTCAAAAGGTATGCTGGAGAAGAGATTTTGCTTTTGCTTCCACAGGAAATGAGAAGATGTGGATTCATTCTGGGTTAAGAAAAAGAAGGTTTGATCGAGGAAGATCCCCTGAAAAATCTCCAAAGGGAATGGGTGGCTCAGACGATCCAGTGATTCAGAGCACTTCTGTTGCAGTTTCTTCTGAGTTCTGCACCCAGAACAGGTTCAAGGCTGCTGGCTGAGATGACCCAGCCTCACAGAATACTCCAGTCAGGACTTGACCATAATCCTACATTTTCTTTGGGTTCCATAAGATTACCAGCACTCCCAACCAGTAGGAAGTAGCCTAGAAAACTGTGCCCACATTCCCAAAAGTGGATTATGGATGTTTGCCTTTGTTTAATGTGTTGGTTACAAGTTGTTATGGATAATGGTCAAGAAAAAAACTAAACAAAAGAGATTAGACTCAGGGTTCTTGTTCTGAAAAGAAAAAAAGAGGGGGGACTGATGTGGGATAATGCTCTTGTTCGCTGGAAAGATTTGTCACTGGTGTTGGTTTAATAAAACACTGATAGACTAGCAGCCAGTCAGGACGTATAGGTGGGACTACCAGACCAGGACAATTCTGGGAAGAAGAAAGGCAGAGAGACGAAAGATGAGAATGCCTTACTAAGAAAAGGTACCAAGTCACATGGCTAAT